ACACACACACACACACACGTATGCATGTATGTTCAGGACTCTGTCTGGTTTGCTGTCATTACTGCACATGTTTGTTTGCGTTTGGAAGCTGACATATGTGTATGGGTTATTTCTCTTCTCTGTCCACTTACCATAACCCATCTCCTTTGAACACAGTCTTTTAAGAATCTGGTTGCCAAGAAGAAGCGTCTCATCGTCCTGTTCAGCCACTGGCTGCTGCATGCATACGGCATCATCTCGATCTCCCGACTGGACAAGCTGGAACAGGACCTGCCGCTGTTGGCCCTCGTGCCAGGACCCGCTCTGTTTTACATCGTCACAGCCAAATTCACTGAGCCCAGCCGCATCCTCTTGGAGGCTGGCAATGGACACTGAGCTGGATTTATCAGGAGTTCAATAAATAACTCTTGAAAAAAAGTCACAGCAGCTTGCCCCTGTCCAGTGTGATGTCTTGAAATTGTCTGTTTATTTTTAGTTCAAAATCTCAGTCAGTGAGGAGTCGGACTCAAAATGCCAAACGTAGTTTGTTAATTTCTTTAACTCATGAAATATAAGCTCAGTAATTGATTCACGCTCAGCTTCAGTTCTCATGTGAAGTGTCTACAGGTCTGACATGACAATGATGTGGTCCCAGAAGTCTGGCGTGTACAGTAAAGTGTGTGCACTACTGCTTTGTCAAGTGTGGTAGAAGATGTGATCGTTCCGCTGGAGCTGAGCAGCTGTTTCTAAAGCGTTAACAGGTCGCTGCTTTTAATGTTTATTTTAAATTTTGATTGGTGTCAGAATTTCTCCAGAGGAAAATCGCTCCGACAGATATACTTGAAAAGGTTTGTATGTTGACTCCTGTTGAATATTTCAGCCTTCACAGGTTTGTGGAGGTGAGTGCACTGTATATATATACTGTACATTGCTTGTAAATGTTAGTGTATGCAGTATGTTTATCTGCATATACATAATTTAAAACTAAAACTTTGAATGTTATCTTTGTGTTCTGACTGTATTGATCTTTGTTACCATGAGATTCAACTTTTATTGGTCTCAAACATTTACCTGATATCAAAGTGTACACCTGTGTTACTGCAGGTCGATCTGTGTGACGATGCACTTTCATCTGCAGATCATTTTGCTCACAGTCATCTGTATAGGCTGCAACATATGTTGATGTTTCTTTGTAAATGAATAAAGGTGTCAGAAAATGATTTTGCGCAGATCTTTGGTATCATTTTGACTGACACGTCCTGTAACCCGGCAGTGCAGGTGGGAAGCTTGTTCTTCTCTCAGGTTGTCAGATGACAAACAGGAAGGTTGCTGCATCTGGAAATGTGGAAAAATCCTCAAAAAGACTGTTTCCTGTTGTGACTTCTTCATTTGTATACTGAGCTTTTGCACATACCCACACCAGCTGTTTAGAAGAATGCAGCTACAGCAGACCTGAGTGTGTTTGTTTTCTCATCTTACAGTTAATGCAAGTAAGGATTCATCCACAGTAACCACAGATCTGACTAATACGTGAAGATTTTACGCTCCTGTAAATCGTATCACATCAACCATAACTTTGTGGGCATGTGTGTGAAGAGAAACTACAGCAAAGCAACAAAAGCTGAGACAAAAAGAACATTTCGTATCATCAAAAAGGCAAAACTGGTATTGGAAATGAAATGCACACAAATTTGGGAATATTACACTCAAATCACTGACACACATACCCACACAGCAAAGTCAAAAAGGTACAAGGGCTACGTCCCCCGAGGACGTGAAAGCCGGTGTTGTGCCAAAAGGAATCTGTGCTGCTTCTGTGTTTATATCTATTGTCTTTACTTGTCTTCAGAATACCACGGGGTGACTCTGATGTGATGGGATAAGATAAACCTTTATTAGTCCCACACCTGGGAAATTTGTTTGGTCATGGCAGGAAGTGGACAGTTAAAGTTAAAAGCAGCAAAAATTAAGAAAAGAACAATAGAATAGAAGATAAAGTAGAATAACATACTATACAAAAGAATAAAATACTGTGTTGCAACAGAAGAAGTGCACATCAGGGAGACTAGGCGAAGGCTGATCCATGGTGTATTAGATGTTTGACAGCCAAACCAATAACACAGTGTTCACATTTTCCCCCCAAAAAATCTGCGAAACAGCGAGGCCGCGAAAAGAACCTAGCGAGCGAACCACTGTATTCAGAGTGTTGCAGTTATGAAAAATAAGCAGTACATTCGACAGAAATACCACCTACATTTACATTTACTTCAATTTGCCATAAGTGTATAAATATTTGAGATTTATATTATAGTTTATTTGTATGTCACGCTGACAGCTTAGCACGAGCTGATTACCATCCACTGTGAATACATGTAATCTGTAGTTGTGGGCTCACACACAGAAAAGTGCAGAACAACGTTTCACTTGTAGAATGGATCCGACTGTCTACCCTGATGACTACTACGGACTGTTGCATACAGATTTAAAATATATAAAACATGCTGTACTAATAATCTGAATGACAGATGCATAGAAATGATCTGTTGGGGCTTATAAGGTAAACGTTTGCAACAACTGCCTGAGTTCAGCTCATTCAAGCGGCAATGATGTACCGCTTTGGAGGAGAGCAGACGTGAGTATTACAGCCAGTTATTACACAAATGAAAAACAATGTGATAATAAGGTATAAACTGTGCCAGTGCAGAAACACCTACTGCTGCAAAACATGACACTGAAGTTCTGCAAGCACCTGCAAAGACAACATGCGGACGTGACATCCAAACCAGATGCAGCTCGATGCTCAAAGTGTGTGGTCTCACAATGTCCTGGCACTTTGATCTCCTCCTAGTCTTACAGACCTACAAACTTACTGTAAGCTTGTGCTGTTTAATGGCAGACAACTTTCCATATTAAGTTGCCAAGTAACAAAAATATGATGGAACTAATGTAACAAATTACTTTCTACATGGTGTGATTACTTATGTTTTTTTTAAGTAAAGAGTAATTTGTTACTTTCTGGGAATAACTTTTTTTTTTAAACACAGTACAACCAGAGAATATTTTTAAAAACATTTTATTAATACACTGGAATATCATTAGATGACATGTTTGCCATATGAAAAATACTTTCTTTTGATAATAGCTGATTGCAGCATCTTAAAGGAGGGACAAATGTAGCTTGGCCATTGGAAATCAGTAGCTTACCATCTGTGATTATGCATTCCCCATGATTAGAGTGTAGTTAATGTAGACACCTGCACGTCTGAACACAAATATACTTAAATAACCTGAGACAAGAGCAAAGGCGAGTCCAGGGTTTACTCACATCAGCATTTGCTGTTTTAAGCATTCAGCTCTTTGGAAACCCGAGAGGTCACAGATTAGTTTGCACAGCACACATTAAAGTGTGTGATGTTAGGATTTCAGCTGAACACGCTGTCACACACTTGTGTTTAACAAAATAACAATATCTTCATTATCGCATTTAGTTTAGGAACATACAACATCCTGGCCTGATGTTCACAGCGACTCTACCACACTAGCAAACACAAAGTGGAAGACTGCGGTGAAATACTCGACTGCCCACAGAGACCATGCAGTGGCTCTGATCAGCTGCATGGGGCAGGAATTAGTCCTCAAAGTTCGCCAGTGTATCATTCTAGCTTAATTTTTCCACTTTCAAGTCAAAGAAAAAAACTCCAGAACCACTAAATCATTACGTGCTCAGATAACCTCGCTCTTAAGTAAACTGGTTACATTGTGGTGAACTGTGTGTTCTCTTCTTGTCATCCTGGAGGCGGAAATAAACTTTTCAGTCTCTTCTTTTCTCTCCTTTTCCCAGCAGCATGCATGTCATACTATGTGGGTGGATGACAACACTCCATTAATGATATTCACTTGAAATCTATTCAAATAATTTTAACCATCTAATAAAATCCTGCAGAATCATTGCAAAGGAGACTAAAGGCGTTTCTGGCAATGACACGATATTAAGAGATTACGGGCTGTGTTCACTATTAGCATGACCGATAAAGTCTTCAGATGAGCTGATGGGAGTTCAAAGTTCGATGGCAATTTAGATAATTTGATATCAAGGCAAATTCTGTTAGAACGGACAATGCACTGTGTGGGCATGCAGGCTGACAGCGATTCTCTGCATAAATCTGACAGGCCAGGTGTAGTGCAGGACTCAACCAGAGGAGGGCGCTGTTATTACAATTCCACCATATAAACCTGAAATCTGAGCGTAACCGCTAAGTTGTTCATGTTACCGTTACTCTTAAACATGCACAACACGGTTTGTTTTCAGCAGGCTGTGTGAGGGTGCAGGTATGCGTCAAAGTCAAAATTCCACATCGTCACATCGTCACATCGTGCAGCTCCGAGTCTCATTATTGTCACATTGGAAATTACATTTCAATTTGCTTCGTAACAACTGTAAAATCAGAAAGAAAGAAAACAGTCGCCATATTTGTGCAGGCTGAGAAAACACACAACAGATTGTGTCGTTGTGGAATGATCTTTGACACACTGGAAGCCCATCAGGTCACTGTAACTTCCATGCATCGGGATTCTCCTCCTCTGTCCTGATGCAGAAACATGTGGATGCAGAATGAGGACTGAGTGAAGCACGATGAGCCAGAGCTCAGCTACTGTGCTCACAGCATGAAGGCCTCTACATCACTCATGCACTCAGCCCTTCTCTGCCCAAATAAAGACACACAATCACAACCACATCCGGCCCAAAATGAGACACTGTTAGCATTACACTCAACACAATTCACAGTGAACTGTGCACTGCAAACATTAGTGAATCATCTTTGTGGGATTCATTTAATATTTCTCCCAAAAATGTACATGAACACAAACGTGCATGCAATCAAACCAGCCACAAAAATACCCCAAACTGACACCGCGTCCTCTGTGGTAAATACTGCAAGATGATCAAATCCATTAATCTGGCTCTGTGCTGGTTTTTCTTTAATCAGTCTCCATTGTTTGCATCAACTGTGGAAAGCAAGTGAAGGCTCCAGATGGACAATCACAATTATAAAGCATCGTAAATCACCAAGAGTGTATAAGTACAGGCCTCTCCAGAGTTTCACCAAGCACCACTCAAATCATCAACATTATTTCTGGATGTAGATGATGATAATACACAGAGTTCCCACCAGTCCTAAGGCCTGGATGCCCAGGAACCAGAGCAGCAGCCAGAAGAAGACGATCACGACCGGCTCCACTATTTTGTCCCCAAAGTACATCTGGCTGAAGCCCATTCCCCGCAGACACTTGTTGAGCGAACCAAACAGAGTCCCCATTCGCTCACAGTCGTCCAACAGAGGCTCTCTGGTACTGGGATCATTCGTGCGGGACCAGGTTGCACTGGGATCAGTTCGAGGGCGGTTCTGGCTGACATCAGTCTGTGGAGGCGAAGATATATTTAAGAATTCCTAAATTCAGATGGCAGGTAAAATAATGCAACACTTGTATAAAATGTAAGACAGCTTATAGTGCATCCTGTAATATATTGGGCAAGAAAATGTCTGATTGTGAAGATTTTTGTCAACCCCTTACTCGACTAAGTGAAAAAATGAAAAGAAACATTGTGAGAAACGAGTACGCGCACGCTTGACCTCAGACGTTACTTTTACTCAGAATAATTCAACTTGTGAACAGATGAATAGCAAACGTAAATAAAAATGTTCAACTATACATAGACAGTATGTAGAGAAACTGACAGCCACAATGTGTTTGCACTGTGGAGATCTGCAGAGAGCTACAGTCAGTGACAGCGGAAGCTTTGAGAAGCACATAATTATAACGCTCAGTTACTTCTTTGTATCTGTAATGATGTGCTGTTGTTTTAGCTTAGCCAGAGAAGTGAGCTGACCGGTTTAAAGAGCAGTGTGGCTATCACACTGGATGTGCATCTACTAATGAACTGCTCTTATTCAGCAGTGTGCTCCAACAGTTTCTGCTGCAGCTAAAAAAAGACGCTCTGTTATGATTTAAAGAAAGTCAGGCAACTTAGTAGAGCTCCCATTTTTGTGGTCTAAAGTTGTGTCCTACAAAAGCCTCATCTAGTGATGCCAATGACTAGGCAATCAGTGACATGCAGTCCTCTGATGTCACATTTGTGGATCGTCTCAGACTGCTTGCAACCCCAGCTGAGTAGGTACTTAAAATACAAAGTACCTGGTACTAGCACCTAATGGAACATGCTACAAGCTGAGTCTAGAAGCCTATCTACGCAGAAGTTAACTGTGTAGTAGTTCAGTCTCTCTCCACAGCCTCCATTTGTGCTGCACAGTTCTCATACTGTCCACTTTTGTAACAGTTCAGATTCCATAAAGGCAGCATCTCACCCAAGACAGCAAACCAACCAGTAGGACTAGTAAGACTCGACAAGATTGGACAAGTCAAGCTAAAACTTCATTCCAGCGTGGCATTTCTACAGACAAACCAACACGCTGATCAAACACGATTATGTGTGTTCGTGTTTGTTTGGTTGAGGATAAAGTAAGTGTCCCTTTAGATACAGTTCAAAGCTTAATGCTGAATCCATTCAGCTAGGAAGATACAAATTACTATGACGATTAATGTGGTAGTATTTATAATGAATTAAAAAGTGTCTGTGGGTGGCCCCGGCCTTTGGTACAGCTCCAAATGCTACATAATTCTGTGGGAAACACTGCATTACAGATGTAACCAGTGGTGACGAGATGGGAAAGAATACAGCAAGGCCCGGTTTAGTCCCTGCCAAACACACTCACATCTACTGAGGCCAAGACTGCGCTCAAAAAGTAAGATCATTTAATGGACCTTTGTCAAGCAAAGCTTTGCTTACTGGCACGTATCACGTCTACATACGAGCTTACATTTCCACGGCTGCACTTGTGTGAAAAAGCATCACATTTATAGTTCATATAGAAGAAAACTCAACTCAAGCATATTCATCGAGTACTTGGAATAACTCGATTATAAAAATTCATTGTTTCACTGCATCACTCTATAGCGCTAACCATAGCAGACCTGCAATAATGAAAGTATGGATAAAGAGCCCACCAGTTTCCCAACAGGAAGAATCAACAGCAGCAGTGATGATGAGAGTTTAATGTGGAACCGGGTCCTCCTACACTCCGGAGAGCAAATGCTTTAGAAAAATATAAGAATAAAGGCTTTTTTTCTTTCTACAGGCCAATAAAATGTACATGGGCTCTGAGCCACTGACATGGGGCTGTTAGGTTGGACACTGAATTATTATTAACATCTACAGCATTACAACATCCGTTTTCAGCAGCACAGGCTTCAGAGTGCTGACAACTCTCTCATTAAACATGCAGACACGCTGCTGTCAGGGCTGTTTGCCTCCGATTATTGGAGATCATCTATTTACTTTCGCATTTGGAAAGTGTATTCTGTAAAATATTAAATGTTTCTTTGACAGACGTTGGATGAAATTTTAAAACACTGAAACTTCCAAAACACAAAACAATGAGCAGATCAGTTTTGAAATGCCTGTTTTTCCACTTTGGAACATTTACCGTTGCTCATTAATAAGGCAGCAGTCGATTAAAAACTCGATTACTAAACTAATAACACCACAATAGATGCAGTTTTCTTTATTAAATGAAATAATAAAGAAAACAATTAGAAATAACAGAGGATTTGTGATATTTAAAGTAGGGCCCACTGCCACTGGTCAAGTTTACTGTGGGTTCAATGATCAATCGCGTGTTCTGACACAAAGACGGGATCGTTAACTTCATACTGTATGATGTTACATGGCTTCTATAATATCCCGACTTAAGTTATATCCTGTCCTGTCCGCGGATCCTTTGCTTAATTCTTCGAATAAAATAACATCTGAATGGAATCTGACTCAAGTGTTTACGTTAGGACAACAGATAAAGCTCAAAAACAAAGTTAAACCTGACGGCAGGCTAACACGGTGAAACCGCTCCCAGATCTTGACAACTCGGCCCTGTTTGCCACAATGTTAGCATGAAATCTGAAAAAGGCGGCTACGGCTAGCTCAACAAACGCCGCTCGGCCGCTTTACCCGGTGCCGCTGGCTGTGCAGTGGTGCCTGCCTTCCACCCTGGACAGGCGGAGGAATATGCTGTCTTCTCCGGTTTTCCGTTGGTAGCTCTTCTAACTCACGTCGATGAGAAACATGCCGGCCATTAACAGGAGGCGTCACAGCAGACATAGTCCTGCTAGTACAGTGACAGGAACTTTTAGGAGTAAACACATGCTGGGGAAGCGACTCACAGCGCGTTCTCGATCTCGGGAGCCAGCAGATTTTTTTAAGCGTCTAAACTTCATCGACCCTGTGACAAGGCGCCACCTACAGGGCAGGAAAGTAATGACAGCGTTGTTATCTCCCTTCACTTCTGTGGAACACTGAGCCAGACAGTCGTGGAAATGCTCGGAAAAACGGCAAATAGTATGGAAGCTTGTTTCTATGGAAACATGCTTCCTCCACTAAAAAGAACCACATTAAGGAAACAATTATTATCGATCATTTTGAGAATAAAGATGAAATACGTCGAAATATGGAGACGCAGTGGTTTCAAGGCTGCTATACCCTGTACAAACAGCCTCGTGTAGATGAGTCAGCGACACAAACTGATCAGCTGTCTTATCATGTCTTGTCCTCCATCCTCTTTACTGCACGATATCCTGTCCACTGGCAACATTTCATTTTGCACAAATCCATGTTTGTGTGTTTTTCCCCTTGTGACTACATGCAACGCTCTGCACTGACTTTTTTCACCCCCTTATCACCACACTGTGTTTAAATCGTTTCCTTGAAACTAAAACTGACTCTGAGGTATGATTTCACTAACTCATCTACACAAGACATTTTGTACAGGGTATAGCAGCAGTTTGCCTTGAAACAACTGTAAGCTCCACATTTCTCAAAATAGTATTTCCACTTTTTTCCTTGAATTTCTGGACTAGAATTTCAGTTTTATTCTCAAAATGATCAGTAATATTTTTTGTCTTAATGTGGCCTTAACCATCTTCATGTATTTTTTTCCTGGTAGTGTGCCAAAAAATTTGTGTTCCTATTACTAACATTTTGGGTAGATAAGCACACATTAGTTAATTCATACAATTTTACAGTTGGGAGTCATGTTTAAGTGCAGTTTCAGTAAATCTCCAAATGTCTGCTTGGAAATAGGCCCATCAATTTTCTTCTGCTTATCCATTTGATGTTGTGTGGGCTGAAGCTGCTGTCCCAGGGAAACAGATGGCACACGCCCTGTCTATTACAGGGCTAACACACCAATTAACTTAGTCACAGTCTTTGGATGTGACGGAAGCCGGAGTGCCCGGAGAGAACCTGTGAAAGCCCCAAACAGAACAGTTTTGCTGTGAGGCAACAGTTGCTAACCACCACATCACCACGTTTTTCATGACTTTGTTTTTTTTTAATTTAAACAAAACCTTTTTATTTTATGTCATGATTTCATAATCAGACTTCCTCAGGTATGTGATCACTCGCGTTCATTTAGTTTATCAGCATGATTAAACTAAATCTGAGTCTAAAGTAGAACCCATTAAATAGCGGTGTGGATGTGCATCATTTTGCATCACCTTCAGAGAGGAGCCCTGTGCTTGTATGTGGTGTCTCAGTGTGCTTCTGCTGAGTTATGTGACATGCTTTGTATGTTGCTTTGTGCTACTTTGTAATGTAGCAGTACAGTTTTAAAGTTTTGAGGTGATGTGCATTTATGGGGCAGTAAAACAAGTAAAAATGGTGTTTTCGTTAATTCACTGATACAATAAAGTGCTGTCACGGGTGTCATTTTCCGTGTAATTGGTAATGTTATTTTGATCTAATTAACATGTCTGCACTAGTATTACCTTACTTATAATGATATGGACTCAACCAGTTAACCTAACATTAGACTGTGGGAGGAAACTCCAAAGGCTCCAGCTGATGTTGACCGTCCTGTGCTAACCACGATACTTCAGTGCCCCTTCACTCCTCTTCCTCTCAACCACCTCCACCCCCAGCATGGTGTGTGTGAAAACATTAGCAGGACTGTTTAATGCTTATGCTGCGATGTGATGTACAAAACTATTAGGAGGCGGTGCACAGGCGGACCCCCCACAAGGTTCAAAAAGCCTTAGGCTGGCCCCGATGTTTTAATGTGTTATTCTGATTGAAGTGTGGGATTACATGCCACTCGTAAGCAGCGTAATCCCAGCTAATCTGGGATTCCTTTTCACTCTGCACCTTGGAAACAACATCAGAGAGATAGGGCTACTAACATGGATATACAAAAGGCCGTCTTTTTGTAAGGTTAATTTGACAAAGGATGCATCTGCTGGTACTTTTTCACATTTTGCAGTCGCTTCTGTTAGCGGCCCATTCCTGTCCATCCTTATGTTCCTGCCATGATGGGAAAAGTGGAATAGCAGAACTCAGGTTAAGTGAGGCTCAGATTTCATTTCTGTGTTTCTATGTGTATGTAATCTGTTTCTCAATGATCACTGCTCATTTTCTTAGTATGTGGCATCACATTGCAGTACTCTTGTGACAACCGAGTATCAGTAGTGCCAATAGTATAAGTGCTGAACAGCAGTGCTGTTTTATAACATTAGATACTGGCAGTGTTGGGAAGGTTACTTTTAAAATGTATTCCACCACAGATTACAGATTACATGCCCCAAAATGTATTTTGTAACGTATTCCGTAACGGGTATGGCAGTCCATTCTCCCTGCAGCACGGACTACACTGCTCATCAGGCTACATGCTTCAGGGCGATGCCTGTAACACTCTGCCTATTGCCTTCATATTAAATCATTTTGTGAATAATTTTTTAAAATATTTCTTTACGTCATTATGTGGGCTGCAAGTAGAGGTGACATGGGCTGCGAGATTGAAACACAGACATTAGAGCCTCTTAATGCGTGTTTTGTTTGGGTTTCCACCAGCATGGAAACCAAAAATATGGAGTTCATAGCCTTATGAAACAGGAAAAGACCGCCGTGTAATAACTGCATTTTAAATACCACCTTTTTAAACGGTAACTGTAACAGAATACAGTTACTCATATCTTGTATTTTAAATATGTAACGGCGGTACATGTATTCCATTACTCTCCAACACTGCTAGTGCCTGATGTGAAAACAAAAATGCAGCACAAACAGAAAGAGAATCGTGACATCTAGAAAAGACTGAGAAGTTCACACCAGGGGACAAGGTGTTCATCAGAAACTACTCCTATGGTCCGAAGTGGATTCCAGCAGTCACTGTGAGATCATCGACTGGCCTTGATGATCTCTCCCTCGATGGTCTTACATCGTTGCAATCGAATCGGGTCAAACTGTGAAGCAACGTGTGGATCAGGCGAGAGCATGAGTTGCAGACACTGTTCCTAGTGCACCGGACAGGGAGGTGGAGCCATTACATGACATGGAAGCCATTCCTGAGTGCTGCTTGCCATCAGGGGTGGGCACCACGCCACAACCATCATCGGAGCCCCAGGAGCTACCATATGCTCCGGAGACTCCGGCTCTTGTAGACTCCTCAGTGGCACCAGTGTTGCAACGTTCCCAGAGAGAGAGACGTCCACCAGAGACTCTAATGGACTTTGTTAGATAGAATGAGATCTTCCAGGAATAGAGCAAACAATGCAGTCTGATCTCACAGGAAGGACGTATCTTCCTAGTTAACATTAAAAAAAGAAAGTTGTATGGTTACCATAGTTATGTGTTAATTCCTTGTTAAGCATTTTTCAGTATAAGCATTTGTTTGTAGACAAGTAGGAGTAGTTGACTTAAGGGGGGAGGAGATGTGATATTGTAACGAAGCATTTGCTTATATAAATATATATATACGTGTATGGGTATGCATAACAGTTATTATTTCCAGGTACAGGCATTGTTAGTTCATGTTTATTGCTCTGGAAAAGCACACGGAGTGGGATGGGTGTGAGAAAGGGCATTTTGTGTTGTTATACCAGCAAGGCCAGGAGAGGTGGTATTGGTGCTGTGTTAAGTAAATGTCATGTAAGAAGACAGAAGAGCGTCATGTACATGATGAACATGGCGCCTGTGTTCGGCTTGGCCGCTGTTGCTGCTCCGTGTTTTTGTCGACTGCTTCAGTATATTGTTTTTTATCTTGTCATCTCATCTGTGATATATCATGAAGGTCTTGACTTTTAAAGCTTTGAATTGTGATGCCCCTGCTTACATTTCTGATCTTTTAGAACCCCACACTCCCTCTCGCAGCCTGAGATCTTCTAATCAAAGGCTGTTGGTAGTCCCTCGAACATATTTTAAAACCAGAGGTGATAGATCTTTTAGAGCGGTGGCCCC